ACATTTCACGTCGCTGGCGAGTTGACTTAGCATCAAGTATCAGATTTCTTACACTGAAGAGATAAGAGCGAAAACCTCAAGATTTACTAAATCAATGATCATTATAAGGAAACGACTATATTTACAAAGGGCGCAGTAGCGGGAACAGGAAATTTAAACCACGATTTTTTACACAAGTAAATGCATTAGTTAAGCTCACCCCCATTTGGAGTGCAAGAAAAAGATCTTAATCGAAAGTATGAAGAGCAAGATAGTGTGGTCTTTTTGTGGTCGCAGTCTCCTTCCGTTGTATAGAAGTTGTTTGACCTTTTTTTCGCAACTCGGTCATATTGGTATGAAGACTTAGAGGAACGCACCTTGTCCGGAGTCCTTTGTATGCATAATCATTTACAAAGTCGGACCGTGGACGTGGTACATTCCCAGACGTTTAGCCGGCATCGTCAGTAACTTTTGCCATTGGTAGGACCATATTACAACTCGTCAAAGAGACAAGTAAGCCGACCCTTGACCAAACGTGTGCTAAACAGTTATAGTATCTCCCCTTCTGCCCTGGCCTATTCACATTTCCTATATCCTCCTATCACGCCGTGACTTGCAGTTTTTCACTTGCTTAATTAGATGTGGTACAGTGTGCCCTTTTAAGTGTTTATCAAGAGAACCCTCCGCATTCTACGCTGACCTTCTCACAACCCCTTCCTCCTTGTGCTGGGAATGTTGATCAGAGTCTGCCACATTGTTACGCAGTCCTCCTTCCTTAGGTCTTACCACAGTCTCTCTCTTGTCCCGTAAGATCCGTCTACCCTCTCCCTGGTTTAAATATTTCACTTGACCCCTGCCACCCCATCTGTGCCACTCGAGGCGTTATTTGCCCCCCCTCCCTGCGTCTTAGTGACTAATTCGAGGCTAAAGCCTCTGAGTAAGTCTCATGGTCACGCCTTTGCCACATGGACAACGTCTATTATAAGACCTACTGCCAGCCCACTAGCTCCAATCGCCGCAGAGTCTATCCTGTTTCTATCTCTAATACCAAGTCTATGATTTCCCATGCTCTAGTCTCTTGTGTGCAAACCCACAAATGTTGTGGTACTGTTTGTTATGTTTATTGTTGAACCACAACATTTGTGGGTTGGCACACAAGAAACTAGGGCATAAGAAGTCATAACTTGGTATTAAAGATAGAAACAGGATAGACGCGGCGGCGATGGGAGCTAGTGGTCTGACAGCTGATTTTATAAGAGACGTAGTCCATGTGGCAAAGGCCTGACAATGAGACTTACTCTAGGGCCTTAGCCTCGAATAATCACCAAGACGCAGGGGAAGGCGAATAACGCCTCAAGTGACTCAGATGGAGTGGCAGGGGTCGAGTAAAATATGTGTACCAGGGAGAGGGCAGACTGATCTTACAGGGCAAGAGAGACTGTGTCAAGACCTAGGGAAGGACCGCGCAACAATATGGCAGACTGATTAATATTCCCAGCACAAGGATGAAGGGGCTGAGAAGGCCAGCGTGCAGTGCGAAGTGTTCTCCGAAAGCAGCTAAAAAAGGGCACACCGTACCACATGTAATTAAGCAAGTAAAAAATAGAGACAGTGAAGACGTGCTAGGAGGGTATAGGAAATGTGAATAGGTTAGGGCAGAAGAGGAGATACGATAACTGTTTAGCGCACGTTTGGTCAAAGGATCGGCTTCACTTGTCTCTTTCACTAGTTGTAAAATAGTGCCACGAATGGCAAAACTCAATGAAGATGCCAGCGAAACGTCTGGGAATGTACCACGTCCACGGTCCGACTTTGGATATGATTATGCATACAATGGAATCCGGACAAGGTGTGTTCCTCTAAGTCTTTCTACCAATATGACCAAGTTGCAAAACAAGTTCAACCAACTTTTATACAACGAAAGAAGGCTGCGACCACACCATTTTGTCTTCATGCTTTTGTATCAATTATAATGCTCTACTAAATCCAAACGAAAAAGGCGTCTGCTGTAGTTTCCTGGTGGGATCGATTTGAAAAACTCTTCAGCTCATACTTTCCAGGCCCACATTTTCTTCCGTATACACAACGAAATTAAGACCACGATTAAATAAAAACCAGGTATTTCAAACATCAATAGGAATTACAAATAATCGCAGACTAGATAGGATGCAGATAGCTTGTTAGAAAAGAAATGAAATGACTCGTATCTTTACTTACTTCTGGCAACGGATTCCATCCTATGAGAAGTTTTAGGACTGTTTCTCAATAGGTATATAGAACGATTACTAAGGGAAGCGCAAAAATTTCCGAGCTAGAGACCATTATAGGGCTATGCTATAAATAAGGGACATATCGCAACCGACAATTGAATAACAAATTGCACACACTACTGATCAACGATGACCATAAAACTGTCAGACAAAATTATTAGCACACTAAAAGGTTAAAGATAAAATCTTGCTAGATAATACTAAAAGTTCAAAAATTCATCACATTTTACGACTATTCTGTTCTCCTGATTAATTAAAAATCTACTAAATGTTATCTTGACATTCACGGGGAACATGGTTATAAAGATGAGTATAAGAAGTTAAGTACCTTTAAACATAGATATAGACTATTTTTAAGTTTAAGGAATTATTCATATAAGAAAAGTAAAGGCTAGGCCAAAGTATTAAACAATGAAGCCACGCATCGAAACGAGGAAATAGACTTTCCTAAACATTAAAAAGAACCCAGGAAGGGGTCGAGAATCAGCAACGGTACTAAAACCAAGCACAATCTTTAGAAGCAGACTTATATGGCAAACTTTCTGTTTAGGCTAGCTCTTTATTAACAGAGGAAAAAATGATCTTCTTGTAACTAAGATATATGAGCAAATACGAATATTAAAAAATATTAATAACAGAAACCAGCTGCGCAAAAATAAAACGGACATGCCTATGGAGGTGCAGAGCTTCATAAACTTTGAATACACTCTGAAAAGTCCAGACAATTATTAATTAGAGAGTAGTGAGCCGAAAGTAATATAGTATGAAAGTAATTTATGAAATAGTTGCAAAAGAATATGATATATAAAAATACCCGTGATATATTGAAATAAACACAAACGAATTGCATATTGATCACAAGGGATTTTAGAGATATTTGGAAGCAGAAAAAACAAGTTCCCATTTTCAATATTACCCTGATGGTCTTTATTTGAGATGTAACCGAAACAATTGAGTAAACGTGTACGGTACTTCTAAAAAACTCCGCAACAACTCTGGGATAGGGATAGTAACTGTTTATGGTTGATTCGAAAATGAGATTGGTAGGTAGAAGCACATGTTGGAATTCGGAGAAAACGATCGGAAGTTATTGGGCCGTTCATCATTCGATAGTTGACCATCGTTTGTAGACACCACCAATTTAGATTATATAAGGCAACAGGCACAAGAAAAACGAAAAAAATAAAATTATGAATAATGATTCGAAAAAACTTACCCGACTAAAGATGATTTATATATGATGGATACAAGGGTTAATTTAAATTTCGTTATTTAGAATATCAGTTTTTTATGATCACGCAAAAAACATACCCTCTAATCAAATAAACGATAAGAAAAATGGAGAAAAAATAAAGGCATATGATGGGAAGTCTGTGGTATTTTTTTGCACGGGCTCGCGTTTACAATGCGAAACATACAATAAACCTGAAAAAATAGTGGAAATCGAGGACAGGGAAAAGAACGAGTTGAAAAA